ATTTTGGTTTTGTGTAAATTACAAATGCACCCCTAAGTTTTTTTTCCTTATTTTGCCCTTTTATTTTGTATAATTTACTAATTGTAACCTATAATTTGACTTTCCCATTTTACCCTTTTCTTTGGTAATATTTACCAATATTGGTGGTACTAATTTGAGTGAAGGGTTTTTTGTAATAATTTATAGATTCTTAATCAGTTATGAAACATATTTTAGTTTTGGATAAATACAAATACAACCCTAAGATTTGTTTAAAATATGAAATGCCCTTACAATATTAGAAATTATAACTATTCCTTATTAGAATCTTTAATTTAACAGAATAAAAGGAAAAATATGTAAAATAATAATAATTTGAATAAAATATGAAAAAAATTATTAAAACAAATGAAAATTCGTCTAAAAATGATTTTTGAAAAATCAAACAAAACAGAATAATTTGTTATAAGATTTGCATTTTGGAAATATAAATTATCACAAGAATAGCTCGTGCCTTGCATAGGGCGAAAAATATTTTTTTACAAATGAAACCAAAACAAAGTTTAACGATGATACCATATTATCGTTGGCATGTAATATCACCATTCGATTATTCCATCCTAACAAAAATAAAAATAAAAAATCTACTCATTTGAACTAAAATTTTATCTCATCTATTTATTCCATAATTGTACCTTATAATAGAAATTAAAATTTCTATCATATATTTCATTATTTATTCTATTCAATTTTATAAGAAACTATTAGCTTGTTTGGTTATGGTTTTCATAAGGCAGTTTTTAAAAAATTTTACTTTTTTATTTTCCGTATTTTAACGTTTTCAATGAATTTTTTAATATTTTAAGCAATTGTTTTTAATTTGTAAACACACCTAACATAAATCCACTTAAAAAAATATAACATTTGTGAAAAAAAATCTTTAAAACATACACTACCAAAAAATACAATATATATATATATATATATATGAAAATTCAGTACATTTTTTTATATTTTTGTGTATTTATTAATTTTTTAAAATATTTTTTCACAAATATTTTACTATTTAAATACATCTAAGTAAGGTGTATCTAAAAAAGTAAAAAAAAAATTGCTTAAAATTTAAAAAATATTCACTAAAAACAAAAACAAAAACTCAATTTTCAAAAAATTGAATTCAGAAAACTAAAACCAAACACACTGATTATTTTTGAAATGATTATTTTTTTTTTTTTGATATTAAAATATCATATTATTCCATTTCATTTAATAAATTCAATGAAATATTACAATCAAAAGTCATATTAGCCCGTGCCACACCTGGGCCTTTTACACTAGTGTGTGTATATATATATCAGTTGGTTTCACTAAAATTATCATTTGTTGTGAAAAATAAAAGTGGCACAGGGACTTCTTTTTTTAATTATTATTACTTGATTTGTAAAACAAACCCGAAACAGAATGATATTACCTTATTTGGTTTCAATTTTCCAAATTCACTTTTAAATAAATTGTTTTTCTACTTGTTATGTTTTTTTTTTTTTTTGTTATCATTGAATATTTTAAGCAATTTTTTAGTTTTTAAATACACCGAACATAAATATACTTAAAACGTACAATATTCATAAAATATTTTAAAAAAAATTCATTAAATACGAAAAATATAAAAAAAAATAAGAAAATTCAATATATTTTTATATTCTTAAGTATTTATTGATTTTTTAAAATATTTTTTTTTATAAATATTTTACTTTTTAAGTACATCTATATGAGGTGCATCTAAAAAGTAAAAAAAATTGTTTAAAATTTAAAAAATATTCACTAAAAATAATTAAAAAATATATGAAAATAAAAAATTCAATTTTAAAAAAAATTAAATCTAAAAAATTAACATCAAACAAAATGATTATTTTTGTTATCAGTCCCGCTAGGTAGCTCGAAAATTAGAGGCTCGAATGGCCCAAAATCCCAAAACGACGTTATTTTGGCTTTTTTTTTTCTTTCTTTTCTTTTCTTCTTCCTTTCCATGACTGGCAGAAGAAGAAGAAAGAAGAAGAGAAGAAGAGGAGAGGAGAGGAAAGAGACAGAGTAGAGAGATTGAAAACCAATACAAATCAAACCCATAAATCCATAAAACACACACACACACACACATATATAGATCTGAAAAATCAAAAGCCAAATCCATGAAATAAATCAAACCCACAAATCCATGAAACACACACACACATACACACACATATATATAGAAAAAGAGAAGAGGAGAAGAGAGAGAGTGGCGACGGAGGTGTTGGACAATCTTCATTGTATTTGAAAAATAAATTCTGTTGTGTACTTAACAACAAACAGAATACAGAAGAAATAAAGGAAATGAGAGAATTTGTTTGATTACAAAAATCAAACCAGGAAAAATAAAATAAAATAAATAAAACAGATTTTTATTTTGTTACAAAAACAAAATCAAAATCCGATTTAAATAAATAAATAAAGCCTAGAAAATAAATAAACAACTTACTTGATTAATTTCTTGAATAATATTCTGATCAAGTCCAATGTTCGACACAGTATCCTTAAGACAGATTCGTCTTCTCCACGGTGTTTTCAGAATCTGAACGTCTATCTCCCAGGATAAAATGATCAATCAACAAAAAATAGCAGCACTACCAATTTTTCGTACAACGAACACACTAAGTGTTTACACTCTTTCTCTTTCTCACAGAAAAATAATGGAGTTAATGCAGTAAAACGCATGGATAAATTGCAGCAAAGATGAACGAAAATTTGAGTGAATATCCAAATGAGGGACTAGTCTATTTATAGGTATAATGGTGACTTTTCAGTTTGAATCCAACAAGTAGCAAATCTGTTTTGAACAGATACAGTATCTGTTCGGCTCTGTTTTGAACAAATACAACCTGTTCAGTTTGAATTTGAATAGATAATCGAATCTGGTTTGAATCTCAAACAGACAAAACAGTTTTGGATTTGAATCTGGACAGATTCGAATCTGTTTTGAACCTGTGCAAAATTTTGAAGAGGTGCAACAATTTTGAATTCAAAAATTGAAATTTAAATTGGAAAAATTTTATTTTACCAAAAAATAAAATTGAATTCAAATGTTTTTGGCCCAAAAAGATTAGTATTGGGTCGGACAAGCCCAACCCAACCTCACACCACGCACCCGTGCCTAAGTCCAAGCCCAGCCGAACGGACAGACGGCGGCGAGCGCATGTGTGGTGATTTTTTAGTCCAATGGGTCTAGCCCATTTTGCCCATAACCTCTCTCTACAAAACTTGGGTGCCCCTTGGGGCCTACCCTAAGTTCTAACTCCAAGCCTTATAAACCCATTCAAAACTTCCCACCAAATCAATATGGGACAAGCCATTTTTCAAACATTTAAGAATTTTTCACCAAAACTCCATTTCCATGGAGCACATTTTGGCTTCAATTTTCCATTTTCCATTAACTCGATAATGGTTTTGAGCAACCAAATAATATACCACGTGAATCACAACGCGGCATAGAACGCGTTACCACTTAGACCCACCAAATTTGGTGCAGGGGTCCCACCTAAAAATTAGACCAAAGTTAAGAAAAAATTCTGTTTTTACCCAGATTTTTTCAAAACATTTCTAGACAGTGGTGGTGAAAGAGGCGACGGCGACGGTGACGGTGGCGACGACGACATGAGAAGATCGGCTCTCCCTCCATCTTCTCTCTTTCTTCTCTCTTCCTTTCTTCTCTCTTCTCTCTCTTTCTCTCTTCATCCCTCCCTTTGTTTGACAGATAAAAAAGAGGGGGAAAAAATTTCAAAACAACGTCGTTTTGAATTCGGGCCACGCGAGCCTTAAGAATTTCGAGCTCTGAAGCATTTTTCTTTTGTTATTTTTTACTGTTACTTGTCAAATCACTCAATCAAAACGTGCTATAAAATAATAGGGTCAAGTTTTGTTGGAAAAAATGATTTTTGGGGACTTTAATTTAATATTAAAGTGTGGTGACTTTAATTAAATATTAAAGTGGGTCCTAACCATTTTTTATGTTGGGTCCAAGTGAGCCAAAAACCATTGGGTTTTGAATAACAAATTGCCAAGAAATTGCTTCATGATGTTAGATTCATGAATAGGATTTTAAAGAGTATTTAAATCTTTTTTCTTGACTAAAGGGTGTGAATCCTTTGGGCATCCATACTTTTCATTTTGTGGAAAGGGGCTATGGATGCTTGGTGTTTTAATGACTAGCCTTAAAGGCTGGAGGCTTTTCCTCTCTCCCCTATACATGTATAAATTGAGACCCTCCTGTCAAGTTTCAATATAGAAATTTTTGCTTCCATTTTACAAGTCAGTTTGCTTGATAGTTCCTATTGTGAGAGAGTGCTACCATTGTTTTGTTCGCTAAGCTAGACAGATAGTGCTTCTGCCGTAGCTAGTTTTGACAGTCGTATCCTGGGAGATAGACACCGGGTTTCCTCAAGCACTCGACCCGTGAGGCGGCGAAATCTGTTTTAAGGAAACTGCTTCCATGCAGTCTTCGGTTTTGTCTCTTTACCCTTTATTGTTTTTTGTGTATTTCTGTTGAAATTTAGTTGTAATTATCAGCATATGTTCTTGGTATATAATTTGTTTTCTTTATAAATCTATTTATTTAATTTCACAATTTTGAACAACAAGTTTTTCCAAAGAATCACATGAAGGATCAATATTGCCGTCTAATCAACATTGAAGAAATAATTCATTCTAAGATCATTTTCAAGCTTATTCAAAAAATTTATTAAATATAAGTAAAATTTTAATCTGATATGATGTATTCAAATTGTTTTATCAAATTTGATTGAGTTAGGGCATCTCCAATAGTTCATCAAAAATTTCATCAAATCTGAGTAAAAATATGACCAATTCCTCTATCTGATATCAGTCACTCTAACAATTTTTAGCAAAAGATAGGATGTCTGGGAGGACGACTGGCCGGTTGACCGGCAAAGCAACCTTGGCCAACCTTCTTCTCAACCTTCTCAACTTTCTTAGCCCCGACAAAAAACAGAGTGCTTTTCAACCTTCTTCTCCAGCTCATCCTTCTTAGCCCCGACAACTTTGTCAACCTCCTTTCCTTGCTTTACTAACACGAACGTCGGCATCGCCTCCACCCCAAACTCCTCCGCCACATCCTATCCAAAAAGAATGTAATTGATCATCATCAAATCAAATTCGACTAGCTGTATTTGAATAAAATAAATAAATAAAAATAAAAACAGAGCTTTACGGACAATTCATCGACATCGATCTTGAGGAACTCGACGTCGGTGAACTTGGTGGCCATCTTGTGGATTGCTGGCTCCATGAGCTTGAAAGGCCCACACCACGATACAGAGAAATCTACTACTATCTTCACAAATTACGCAACAGAAGAAGGGGGACATATATATATATATATATATAACTAGGATACGATTCAGATCCTGAAATTTGATTAACGACTTTACTAATAATAGAGAGAGAGAGAGAGAAGTATGTATGTACAAGCTTTGGGGTTTGTTTAGAGGCTTTGAAGTAAACTTGCCAATTGTTGGATGAGTGAAATGGGATGATGCAAGATGGCTCTGAGGACGTTGCGGAAGAGTTTTCAGTGTTTACAGAGTCACCTCCATTATTGTTCCTGAGGACGTTGCGGAAGAGTTTTCAGTGTTTACAGAGTCACCTCCATTATTGTTCAATGTGTCCGTCAAAGAGAGAGAGGAGTCAAAACTTGAAAGTAGACAACGCCTGTGTTCTGGGAATTGTTTAGTTAGCTGGATGACTGGGGAGACAACTGACCGAACATCTAGACAGTCGTTCGGTGGGTCTCACCCCTAACGTACACGCATAGTAAATTGGTGAAAGCTGGCCCAAGTCCTCAGTTTGATGAAAATTTTGGGCCGTTCTCAATTTGATATCGTTTTGATAAAACTATTAGAGATAAAGAAAAAAAAATGTGTCCTTTTTCACCAAGTTCAAATTTGGTGATGAATTTGGTTAAACGTTGGAGATGGACTTAGTATAAATTTTTATCAAATCTTTTTCAATTCGATTTTTCACTAACGATCACTGTGAAATTTAATAAAAAGTTAAATTCTTTTATTTAATACTAATTTGATAAAATGATTGAAATATCATTTTTATCAAATTTTTATTAAATTTAAATTAGATAAAAAAAATATAAATCTATATTGGAGATGATCTAGTATAAAACTGATATCAATAAAATTTGGTTCTCATAAAATTGGCTTGTTCCTCTCTCTTTTGATTCTTTAAAAAAAAAAAAAATACAAGTTGATTCTCAACTATAAGTGACCAATCAAAGTTTTCTAGGCAAGGCCATGCATATGAGAGCTTTAAAATTTACAAGGCTAGGCCTAAGGCATTTCATGATAAACACATTTCTCGTAAGTCCTTTGAGCCTCACCAAAAAGTGTGGCTGTTCAATGCCAAATTGTGTTTGTTCCCGAGTAAACTCCGGTCTCAGTGGGATGGCCCATATGAAGTTATTGAAGTCTTTTTGCATGGGTCGGTTGAAATTAAAAATCCACAAGATGGTATGACCTTCAAGGTCAATGGCCAACGATTGAAACATTATGTGAATGGTATAAACTAAAGATCAAGTTATAGATGTGTTTAAGTATTTTCTGGCCATCGTTGAAAGAGAAACTAGGCAAAAATTGAAGTACATCCGAACGGACAATGATGGTGAATACATTGGACCATTTGATGAATATTTTCACAGCCAAGGTATTCGGCATCAAAAGGCAGTTAAGAAGACTCCTCAAAATGGTGTTGCAAACCACACCATTGTGGAAAAAATAAGGTGTTTGCTTTCACATGCTAAATTGCCAAGATCCTTTTTTGGTGAGGTAATGAGGACAGTTGTTGACGTGATTAATTTGTCTCCTTCTTATCCTTTGGATGTTGATGTTCCTGAAAGAATTTGGACTGGCAAAGATGTGTCTTATGAGCACTTAAGAGTGTTTAGTTGTCGAGCTTTTGTTCACATTCCAATTGATGAAAGGTCCAAGCTTAATAGCAAGTCAAAACATTGTTTTTTTTTTTTGCTATGGACGTGATAAATTTGGTTATAGATTGTGGGATCCAATCGGCAATAAAGTTATTCGAACCTGTGATGTTGTGTTTCTTGAAGACCAAACAATTGACGATTTTGGCAAAGGTGATCAACCGGAGCCAAAAACTAGTAATCTAATTGACATTGATCCATCTCCTTCGTCTTTGGTGGATAATGAAAATGGGAGAAATGCGCAACCACCTATTGAAGATGTAGAGAATGATACGAATCCTAATGAAATTGAGCCCGAAATTGAGGAAAAGCATTCAACTCAAGAACTGCCACAACAACTTGAGTTGAGAAAATCTACAAGAGACCGACAACCTTCGAAAAAGTATCCTTCCAATGAATTTATGTTGATATCCGATCAAGAGGAGCTCGAGAGCTACCAAGAAGCAATTGAGCATGCAAAAAAAGGTGATTGGAAAAAAGCCATGGAAAAGAAAATGAATTCTTTACTTAAAAATCACATTTATGATTTGGTGAAGTTGTCTAAGAGAAGGAAAATTTTAAAAAATAAATGGGTCTTCAAATTGAAGAATGACGGTAAGAATCTAAGGTACAAGGTACGCCTTGTTATGAAAGGCTTTGAGCAAAAGGAAGGTTTTGACTTTGATGAAATTTTCTCGCCGGTTGTGAAGATGTCTTCCATTTGGGTTGTACTTGGCATGGCCGCAAGAATGAACCTTGAAGTTGAGCAACTTGATGTGAAGACCACATTTCTTCATTGTGACCTTGAAGAAAAAATTTACATGGAGCAACCAAAGGGTTTTGTGCAGAAAGGGAAAGGAAAGAGAAATTTGTTTACAAACTAAAGAAAAGTTTGTATGGCCTCAAGTAAACACCGCAGTAATGGTATCAAAAATTTGACTCTTTCATAATGAATAATGATTATTCTAAAAGCATTTCGGACCATTGTGTGTTTGTGAAATATTTTCTGGATGGTAAATTTGTTATTCTTTTGCTTTATGTTGATGACATGTTAATTGTGAATCAAGATTCTGCCATGATTAACAAGTTGAAGTTAGAGTTAAGCAAATCTTTTGCTATGAAAGATTTGGGGTTGGCAAAGCAAATACTTGGTATGAAGATTATTCGTAATCGCAAGAAGGAACTGATTTGATTATCTCGAGAAAGCTACATTGAGAAGGTTCTTGAAAGGTTCAACATGGATAAAGCAAAACCGGTTGGTTGTCCACTTGCGGGTCACTTCAAGCTTAATTCAAATCAATGTCCTACAAGTGAGAAAGATAAGGAAAAGATGTTGAAAATTCCTTATGCTTCAGTAGTTGATTCTTTGATGTACGCCATGGTTTGTACAAGGTCGAATATTGCTCATGTTGTTGGTGTGGTGAGTCATTTTCTCTCTAATCCGGATAAAGAACATTGGGCAGCGATGAAGTGGATTTTAAGGTATCTTTGAAAGACTTCGAAGGTGGGTTTGTGTTTCGGGAATGGTAAGCCGATACTTGATGGGTTCACGGATTCTAACATGGCCAGTAATGTTGATTCTAGGAAATCTAATTCGGGATACTTGATAATATTTGTAGGCGGAGCGATGGCATAGCAATCTAAATTACAAAAATATATTGCACTCTTAACCACCGAAACTGAATTTATCACCATTACAGAAGCTTGCAAAGAAGAGTTATGGTTGAAGAAATTTATACAAGAGTTGGGTTTGAAGCAAAACAGGATGTGCTTTATTATGATAGTCAAAATGCTATTATTTGAGTAAAAATTCAATTTCTCATTCGAGATCGAAACACATTGATGTGAAATACCATTAGATTCGTAATGTGTTTGATTCGAAATTGTTACAACTCGAAAAGGTTCACAAAGATGATAATATTTCGGATATGTTGTCTAAGACTTTGTCGAGGGACAAATATTTGAAGTATCAAACTTTGGTGAGAATAGTTTATGTCTCCACCTAAGTCGTAAGAGGACAATTGCTGGGTGCACCTCCTTAGTGGAGTATGAGACCCAATTGGTTTATTAAAATAATCTTAATTTGATTTGGTGTTGGTTATAATATATTTTTCATATATTATACCTAACTTTTGGAGGCCCAATGGATATTTAATAATCTATTTGGTAACAGGCAGGCTTTTGATAAAAAGCCCAAGAATTAACAATATTTTTTTAGATATTGTGTTATTTATTTTCAAATGTGGCAGGAGCAAGTTGTTTTTCAGTGAGATAATGCTACTTTTTGGTAAGTATGTTCTTGGTAAACAAGCTTGCTACATAAGTCCAATTGGTGGGTTCAATTTTGGTGGTTAATTGTTGTTGTGTGTATTTGGCTTGTTTCTGTTTTGAATTTGCTTCAAAGGTTTGTTATGGTGACTATTTTGGTTTATTATTTTGGGTTTCTTCAACTCTGTTTCGAAAACTTTTGTTCATCTATTTGGTGAGGTCTTTCCTCTTGAGAATTTGTGATTATTTGGAATTCACCTAAGGGTGGTTTGTGAAACCATTCGCGTCTCGTTTGTAATCGTTTGGAAACTATTGGCTGATAGTGGAATCGGATTTCAGTCCTGTGAATATAACTCACATTGAGGGAACCACGTAAAAATTCTTATGTTGTTGATTTAATTTTTCCGCATTAGTTTTGATTTTCATTGATTGATTTACTTGTGAAAAATCATCTATTTTTCTCTAACAACTGTACTCTAGACTCACCCACAACCCCCATCGAGGATTAAAAATCATGAATGATAACTGCTATGGCCATGGCTTCTTTCCAATCTTCCATTGGACTAGAGAGCTGTTGTTGGGCCTTGTAAGCAGGGACAGAACCAATAGAGACTACCATGGCCCCCGTCTTTGAGAAAAGTCATGCTTATATATTACTTTTATAGTAACATATGCTTAACATCTAATAGACTTGGCCCCTCTATTGCTTCACATGTGTCATTTGGTTTGAATTGATATTCAATAAGGCTACTTTCACATAAAAAATGTGTATAAGAAACTTAAAATGTGATAAGTAAGGCTTTCAGTTTAATGATTGTATATCATTAAACTTAAAATGTGATAAGTAAGGCTTTCAGTTTAATGATTGTATATCATTATTTTTGTAGTTGAGATTACGAGTGATACCTATTGTGGTGTTTAGTTCTCTCCGATCATGAGATTATGTGTAATTGTTTATTTCTTTCTAAGTTAATGTCATTTCTTGTGATAGTTGTTGGACTTGGTGACTTTCTAATATGTAATACTTCTTATATTTATAATTAATCTTTTATAAATTGACAAAAAAAATAATTAATTAATTAAATGTGATTTAGATTCAATCTATATGTTACGAGGACCACATTAAAATAAATTTGGATAACACATTTTACGATAAAGTCAATTGTTAAATTTTTTTGGCATTTTAGAATTTGAAATGACAAAAAAAAAACAATTAATTTATTAGTTGTTTTTTTATTATTCAATTTATGACTCTCGTTAAGATTGAGTATATATGACTTTTTATTTATTATACGTTAAAGGATTGTTTTGGCAATAATTTAAAATAGTTAAAAAATCAAATAGTCACTACCGAAAAATCAACT